GCCTTCAAAGTGTTTGATAGAGACGGCAATGGATTCATATCTATCGATGATCTCAAACACGCCATCAATGGTATCGACGACCCGTTGACTAACGAAGAGTTTGACGAAATGGTGAACGAAATCGATGGCAACGATAACCAAGAAATCAATTACGAAGAGCTCATCACTCTTATGACATCCGCTCATCAATAGTGCCATCATTTCATACAAAACACATTCATTTCGTTTTCACTTCTATTTAATTAATTTTATTATAATTTCAAAAATGATTTTTAATTAAAGTGTACTAATTATATAAACTAAGTATTCAAAAACAAGTCACCTCTACCTGGTTAATATAAATATGATATAAATAACCAAATTTATAGCAAATTAATAAAACTAAATTTCAATTAATATAAATTATCTCGTTATAGAAGTGATACTTAACTAAATAACTGTTACATATTGTTATCCGGGACCAATGCATTTATGACCCTATTGACAGTTGCAATGGTTATGCTTTCCAATAATGCAGTGATCCATAATGATTACGACAGGGTTAGCTGGCTCATAATGTAACAAATGTTAAGAGCAAAATTCATTGTAAAATGTTAAGCATCCAGGTCTATATTTGCATGCATTTTAAGCAATACCAAAGATCCAACGATTATCAAGCGATGTACAGTACAGCGATATGTAGACAGGTAAACCTTTACATTAGTTAACTCATCAAGCTTTGTTATTTGTTCGCTATTTATTTGAATATTTCTAGCTATGAGTCATAGTCTCAGTGCTAACCCATTGAGTGTTACATAATATGCTGTAATGTTTAGCTAAACCGTTGTAATAGTGTTGTAGTGAACGACATATCAGTGAAAGACACGTCTCTCTAAACTCTTACATAATCTTATCACATGTCCCGTAAATATAGCTAACAGTATAGACTATTCAGTGCTTGAGATTCAAATTGTGTGAACACAAGTTGCGCTCAAAAAATTAAAAGGTAAAAAAGTTGTAATCATAATTTTTATTCATAAAAAATGTGTTCATTAAGTGAATCATTGATTTGTGAATACATTTAGCAAACGTTATATAACCAGACATTACTTAACATAACATTGTGTTCAATGTATTGCAGACTCGTTTAGACCGGTATTCATAGAGAGTGTGTTCAGCACTGACACTGTTTTGAGTGATTTACAGGTAGTTATGAGTTATTTTATAATTGTATTATAAGTTATTTATATTTGTAAATGTTTATAACATGCATTTCATATAATATTATAACTATTTATTACTGTAATACTCATACTATCAAGGTATTTTAATACTGTACTACTGTACAATATATGAATTATTATGATACATGTATTTACAAACTTGGAAATTGATTATAAAACTCATAGATAGCGAAAGTTATGTTTAAACTGAGTATTACCGGTATATATATTCAGTAATGTTTATTATACAAACATTTTTACCAAATTTGATAACTTTTTGATTAATTAATAGATTGTTTTGTTCGTGAAATGAGTGGTAAATATGGAAACAAAGAGTTGGATGAGTTCTGTCATCGGAACCAATTGACAGCCAATTATTCAACACCTGATGAGCCGTTAGATGGCTTGGGATACATGACTACTATCCGGATGCTGAACACCGATGGCCGGGAAGTGGCGTCTGAGTCGGCATTTGGCGGCACTAAAGCCGA